CACTCTCAGAAAGCCATCTTCTAGCATAGTCTGCCAAGCTCTCACATGGAACCCGCAAGGAAAATGCAAAAGAGGAAGACCTTGACAACGTGGAGAAGATCTACTGAGAGTGAATGAGAGCAACTGGGGTACTCCTGGAGTCAACTAGAAGTTTTGTCTCCAGACAGAGTGAAGTGGAGGAGACTTGTAAACGACCTATGCTCCACTTGGAGTACAAGAGTTTAAGAAGATTTAGTGGGTGCTGTATTAGAAATCTGAATTCTCTATTGTTATAGTTTTCAGTCTCAGGATATTGAAGAAACAAGGTGGTTGATGTAATATCTTTTATTGGACCAACTTCTGTTGGTGAGAGAGAGGGAGAGAGAGTATGTTTACACAGTAACATTTTTTCGAAATAACTAGCATTATTTCGAAATAACTTGGTCCACATCTACACAGCAGGTAGTTATTTTGAAATAATGTTGAAATACTGTCAAGCTGGAGGACTTTTTACTCCGACTCCTGTAACCCTCATTGTACAAGGAGGAAGGGAAGTCATATGAAGAGTGCTCTATTTCGAAATTAGTGCTGTGTAGACACTCCTAATTTTGAAATAAGTTATGCAATTGATGTAGCTCAATTTGCATAGCTTATTTCTAGTTAAGCCCTGTTGGGTAGGCACACCCAAAGAGACCCACCCTTGTTTCGCTATCATGAGTCTAGGCCCACCGATGGGGAGAGGGAGAGGGCAAAAGAGGAAACTGCCCCGTGGTCCAGCAATACGAAAGGCCTGGAACTCCTGGATGCTGTCACTGCTGCTACTGCATGCCCTTTAAATTGCTGGCGTGCAGCATGCTCTGGGCAACATCGAGGGCTGCCTGGAGTGGGTATGATGCTCTCCAGATGGCGATGAGGGTGATTAGCCACTTCCAGGGTAGAGAGCAGGCTCCCCGCTTTGTCCAAGGGCCTGGCAAGACTGTTGGCCCTGCTGCAAAATTCAGTTTTGTGACCTTTTGAACTTTTGTCTTCATTGGTCTCTGTCTGCATACAGTAGGGATAATATCTTCTTGCCTCACAAGGGACTGATAACAGTTATGCTTGTACGTTACTTTTAACGGATGAAGCTCTATATTCATATTTTTTGTGGGGATGGTGTTAAAGGCTAAAAAGGACAGTTAGCTCCTCTAGGCTGGCCTGTATATCACATAGCATTGTATTTGTCCAAATTACTTCATTAGCTTGTTTGATTAAAGCTTATCTTCTAGAAAAATATCCAGTCTAAATTTGAAGACCTCCAAAGAAAGGGATTCTACAAGTTCCCTCTGTAGTTGGTTCCTAAACTTTTGGCAGTTGGTTCTGTTACACCTTTTTCTGCTATATTAAAGATTTCTTTAGTATCTCATATTTTCTCTCCATGAAGGTACAGTAATGAAGTTACTTCTCATCTTTTTTATGACAAAACAGATTCAGAGCCTAAATCTCTCACTGCGTAAGACATTTTTGCTAGTCTTTGTATCAATGTTGTGGCTCTCTTCTGCATTTTTTCCAATTTTCCCTCATCCTTTAAAAAATGAGGACACTAGATCCTCATGCATTTTTCTAGTATCTTTGTTCTCAGTCCCCTTCCTGTACCTGCTCATTATATTCCTGTTTATGCATCCAAGGACTGCTTTAGCTCTTTTTGCCAAAGCATCACTCTGGGTGCTAAGATTCAGTTGCTTGTCCACTGTGACATAAGAACATAAGAAAGGCCGTACTGAGTCAGACCAAAGGTCTTTCTAGCCAAGTATCCTGTCTGCTGACAGTGGCCAGCTCTAGGTGCCCCAGAGAGGGTGGACCTAAGAAAATGACCAAGCGATTTGTCTCTTGCCATCTCTCTCCAGCCTCTGACAAACAGAGGCCAAGGACACCATTTTATCCCCTGCCTAATAGTCTTTTATGGACCTAACCTCCATGAAATTATCTAGCTTCTCTTTAAACTCTGTTATAGTTCTAGCCTCCTCTGGCAAGGAGTTCCACAAGTTGACTACACGCTGTGTGAAGAAGAACTTTCTTTTATTTGTTTTAAACCTGCTATCCATTAATTTCATTTGGTGTCCTCTAGTTCTTCTATTATGGGAACTAATAAATAACTTTTCTTTATCAGCCCTCTCCACACCACTCATGATTTTATAGACCTCTATCATATCCCCCCTCAGTCTCCTCTTTTCTAAACTGAAAAGTCCCAGTCGCTTTAACCTCTCCTCATATGGGACCCGTTCCAAACCCCTAATCATTTTAGTTGCCCTTTTCTGAACCCTTTCCAAGGCCAAAATATCTTTTTTGAGGTGAGGAGACCACATCTGTACACAGTATTCAAGATGTGGGCGTACCATAGTTTTATACAGGGGCAGTAAGATATTCTGGGTCTTATTTTCTATCCCTTTCCTAATAATTCCTAGCATCCTATTTGCCTTTTTGACCGCCGCTGCACTCTGTGTGGAAGTTTTCAGAGAACTGTCCACGATAACTCCAAGATCTCTTTCCTGATTTGTCGTAGCCAAATTAGCCCCCATCATACTGTACGTATAGTTGGGGTTATTTTTCCCGATGTGCATTACTTTACACTTATCCACATTAAATTTCATTTGCCATTTTGTTGCCCAATCACTCAGTTTGGTGAGATCTTCTTGGAGTCCCTCACAGTCTGCTTCTGTCTTGACTATCCTAAACAGTTTGGTATCATCTGCAAACTTTACTACCTCACTGCTTACCCCTTTCTCCAGATCATTTATGAATAAGTTGAAAAGGATTGGTCCCAGGACTGACCCTTGGGGTACACCACTAGTTACCCCTCTCCAATCTGAAAATTTACCATTTATTCCTACCCTTTGTTTCCTGTCTTTTAACCAGTTCTCAATCCAAGAAAGGACCTTCCCTCTTATCCCATGGCCATGTAATTTACACAAGAGCCTTTGGTGAGGGACCTTGTCAAAGGCTTTCTGAAAATCCAAGTATACTATATCTACTGGATCCCCCTTGTCCGCATGTTTGTTAACCCCTTCAAAGAACTCTAATAGATTAGTAAGACAGGATTTCCCTTTACAGAAACCATGTTGACTTTTGTCCAACAAATTATGTTCTTCTACATGCTTCACAATTTTATTCTTTACTATTGTTTCGACTAATTTGCCCGGTACTGAAGTTAGACTTACCGGTCTGTAATTGCCAGGATCGCCCCTTTTTAAATATTGGTGTCACGTTGGCTACCTTCCAGTCATTAGGTACAGAAGCCGATTTAAAGGATAGGTTACAAACCACAGATAATAGCTCAGCAATTTCCCATTTGAGTTCTTTTAGAACCCTTGGATGAATGCCATCCGGTCCCGGAGATTTGTTAACTTTAAGTTTTTCTATTTGTTCCAAAACCTCCTCTAATGACACTTCAATCCAGGACAGTTCCTCAGATTCATCACCCACAAAGGACGGTGCAGATTCGGGAATCTCCCCAACGTCCTCAGCCGTGAAGACTGAAGCAAAGAAATCATTTAGTTTCTCTGCAATGGCTTTATCGTCCTTGATTGCTCCTTTTATAGCTCGATCATCTAGGGGACCCACAGGTTTTTTAGCAGGCTTCCTGCTTCTAATGTACTTAAAAACATTTTGTTATTTCTTTTTGAGTTTTTGGCTAGCTGTTCCTCAATCTTTTTTTACTTTTCTTATTACATTTTTACACTTGATTTGACAGTGTTTATGTTCCTTTCTATTTATCTCACTAGGATTGGACTTCCACTTCTTAAAAGATACCTTTTTGTCCCTCACTGCTTCTTTTACATGGTGGTTAAGCCACGGTGACTCTTTTTTTAGGTCTCTTGCTATGTTTTTTAATTTGGGGTGTACATTTAAATTGGGCCTCTATTATGGTGTCTTTAAAAAGTTTCCATGCAGCTTTTAGGGATTTGGCTCTAGTCACTGTGCCTTTTAATTTCTGTTTAACTAACCTCCTCATTTTTGTGTAATTCCCCTTTATATGTAATTTTGTGTAATGACCCCTAAATATTTTTCAGAGTTAGTTTTCCAGAATGGAGTCAACCATTCTGTAGATGTGTTACATTTTTTTTTGTTTCTATATATGTGATTCTGTGTTGTCAGTACTAAATACACTTTGACTAGACCTAGTTCATGAAGCAGTCCAGATCACACTCTATGATTGCCTTGTCCTAGCTAATACTTGCCACTCTGCCAATCTTTTTGTCAATGGCTGATGTTATTGGCAGTGATTCATATGTTTGCTTCTTGGTCTCTGAGAAGAATGTTGTGCCTAGAACCAGTCTTGTGGAATTTTACTACAAACACTTCTTTTCAATTATGAAAATATCCCCATTAACAATTATCTTTTGAGATCTATCACTTAACCATTTTTTATTGAATTTAACATGTGCTTTGGTGATATTTTATACTTCTAATTTTTAATCAGGGTGTTGTGTGGTTCGAAGTCAAATGACTTACATAGGCTACTAATTATATGCCATTACCTTTTATCAACCAAATTTGTAATATCAAAAAACCTGTGATCCACAAAACAGTGTTGAAAGGTATTATAGTGCAATCCTTTAATTCTTTCTTATTGAATCCCATATCTGCTTTTCCATTATTTTGCCCAGGAATGATGCCAAGTTAACCAGCACGAGATAATCCATATCATCTTGCTAAATAAGGCTTCCTATCATGTGAAATACAATTTTAATGTAATTATGCATATTTCTAAGGCATAGATTCTGGGATTTTACAAATCATTTGTCCAGTTTCAATATGTCCTGGAAAAGTACAGTTTAGGCATGGTTAACTCTTTTTAAGATGATGTGGATAATTTTCTGTTTCAGTATGTGTCCTAAAAAAATCCTTAAATTCATGAATTTCTTAGATGAAAACCATATATAATCCATAGATAAGATGCATCCCAATATTTGTGGTAGAAATTGCATGGTATCACAGTATTAGGTAATAATGGGGCTAATGTAATTTTAATTTCTCTTCCCTAGGCCATGTATGAGGTGTCTTCAGATGAAAAGCGTAAAGACTGTGGTCTGAAAGTTTTAGACACATTCTTCACTAATGGGGTAAATATATCATCTTGCAAAATATTTTGTCAAAATGCATAGTAAGAGCTGACCAAATTAGAGCTCAAAACTGCAACAATTTTGGATAGTGTTTTAGTTGTCAATGCATGAAGAAGTAAATTGCTTTCAAAATAAGAAACTCTCTAACAGAATTTTGCAAGTCATTCTGGAATATGGACTAACTCTTCCTTTCAAGATTATTGTGAAACTCTATTAACTCAAACACAAAGCTTGAGTGCCCTCTATCATTTTTTTTCATTATCGCTATGATTTTTGACTTTTTTTTAATGTCTGGTCACTTTTTAATATTACTGGTCCTGAGCAGAATTTTGTGAGATTAGAGGTCAATGGGTTTTAGTCTAAATATAAAAAAGTAGCTAAATTGCTGTTTTACCATATGAGTTATAGATCTGGCTTTTCAGCTCACTTGCGTAGCCTTGAGCAATTAGGTCTAAATTTTCAAAAGTATTTCATGTTTTGGCTGCCCATCTTAAGAAACACAAGAATTGATTCATCAGAAGATGCTAGGCACCCACAGCTCCTACTGAGTTGAATATCTGATCATTGTATTGGTAAATTAGATCTGCCTAGGTATGTCCCTGTTCTTCTACCTCTTTTGGTTATCAGAAGTTCTGCCGGGGATATAACTTCCATCCTCTTTTTCTCCCTTTCCCCTCCAACTGTTCTGGTTATCCTGAGGAAGATATGGATCTTGAAGACGTCCTAAAAATGCTCAAGCTCTGAGTTAGTCTCATCTTCTCTTGAAATTTATTTAACACCTAGCATGGTCTTTAAACCAATGAAAACTGGTCAGGCCTTTTAAGCCTACCTGTCCCTGAATGGTTTAAAATCTAGTTAGCTGAAGTGATGTGTTTTTTAAATCAGATAGAAAACTTCCTCAGATGAGAGCAGAATTGGTTGTGAATATGAAGGTGGAAGATAATTTGGGTGAAAATACCATGAAATGATAGATACAATAAATTCTAAGGAGAAGGAGAGAGAATAACAGAATAAGGAGAGTGGACTTTACGTACTTTAACTAGCTCAGGGCACTGGTAGGTAAGGTCCCATGGGAAGAAAAACTAAGTGATAAAATAGATCAGGGGAGCTGACAGTTTCCCAAAGAGAGAAATTAAAGGTACAACTGCAGACTATGTGAAGAAGGGATAGGAAGAATAGTTAGAAGCCAAAATGGCTGTATAAAGAGCTCTTCCATGACCTGAAATTGAAAAACCTATCCTACAAAACTAGAAACATGGGTGTATTATCAAGGAGTATAGGAAAAAATAACATACGCATGAAGGGACACATTTGGCAAAGCTAAGGTACAAAATTAATTGTACCTAGCAAGGAACATAACAGGGAAAAAGAAATCTTTCAATACTTTAGGAGTGAGGGAAAATGAAGGAAAGTGTAGGTCCTCAGAAAGGAGAGTTACTGGTGACATCAGGAAGGCTGAGGTATTTAATGGGTATTTTAATATTCAGCCAGGGAGGTTTTAGGAAAAAACTTTGTAATTATAAACTTATGTAATTATACTTTGTAGGTTAATAACCTGCTCGACTAGGTTACCAAGGGAGGTTGTGGAAATCCCCATCACTGATGGTTTTTAAGAACTAGTTACACAAAGATCCATTAGGGATGGTCTGTGTAAATTTGGTTTTGACTCAGTTTAGGGGTTAGACTAGCTGATCTCTTGAGGGTTACATATAGCTCTATTTTTGTGATACTTCATGTTTGTTAGATTACTAATTGTTTTTATTATTGTTTTTTGTTTGAATCATATAAAGTCTGCAGCCCACTTACCGGAAATACCTCAGCATACAGTGAATGAATGTAAAACAAGACTGGAGCAGAACCCTTGCAAAGATCTTTTTAATGACTGCACTAGGTATGTGATGAGTGACTAAAAATGTTGGCCAAAAGTACATTGAAAACTGTATTTCCATGGAGATGATAGGGAAAGTTTAAAGAGAAACTATCAGATGAAATTCTGCTGAGGCTACAACTAAGAATCTAGTGCTCTTTGTTTTCCTGTGTGCTGTGCACAGCCCTCATGTTGTTCTTAGAGTTGCTTCTGTTCTGTAACAAAAGTTGATATTATTGTGTCTTTGACTATAGTGGGAGTTGTGCAAATATGTCTAAAGATAGAATCTGGAACACTAATACAATGCGAGAGCTGAATACATATAGACCGAAACAATGTTTATCAAGCTAAAAATAGTTTTTTTTGGTTTCTGGAAGTTCTGTAGCTGTTACTGTTTGCATCTCCATTTTAAGGAGGATTCAGTCAAGATTCCACTTGTAAAACTGATGCGATTTGCACTTTACTATAGTTTCAACCAATTTGACTCTAAAGAACAGAATTGTCAAACTCAGTTTGTTAGGGAAGAATCAACATTGTTTTTGTAAAGGGAAATCATGCCTCACCAATCTACTAGAATTCTTTGAGGGAGTCGGCAAGTATGTGGACAAGGGGACTCCATTGGATATAGTGTACTTAAACTTCCAGAAAGCCTTTCACAAGGTCCCTCACCAAAAGCTTTTAAGCAAATGAAGTTGCCATGGGATAAGACAGAATGTCCTTTGATGGACTGATAACTGGTTAAAAGATAGGGGAAAAAACAGGTTGGAATAAAAGGTCATTTTTCAAAATGGAGAGAGGTAACCAGTGGTGTCCCACACTGGTCTGTATTGGGACCAATCTTATTCTACATATTCTGGAGAACATGATCTAGAGAAAGGGGTTTACAGTGAGGTGGCAAAATATGCAGATGTTACCAAACTGCTCAAGATAGTTAACTCCAAAGTAGACTGTGAAGAGCTTCAAAAGGATCTCACAAAAGTTGGTGGCTGGACAACAAAATGGCAGATGAATTTTAATGTTGATAATTGCAAAGTAATGCACAGTGGACAACAGAATACTAATTATTTGTATAAAACGGTGCAGACTAAATTAGAGAGATCTTGGAGTCCATTGTGGATAGTTCTCTGAAAACATCAATTCAATGTGCAGCAGCTGTCAAAAAAACAAGCTGAATGTTAGAAATCATTAAAAAGGAGATAAAGAGTAAGACAGAATATCTTATTGATTCTTTATTAATCAGTGGTATGCCCACATCTTGAATACTGTGTGCAGATGTGGTTGCCTTATCTCAAAAAAGATATCTTGGCATCTTTTCTTAAAAAGTTCAAAAAAGGGCACCAAAAGTGATTAAGGATTTGGAATGGCTTCCATATGAGGAGATGTAGCAAACAGAGGTGGCTGCTCCCTGACCCTTGGGGGGGAAGAGCCCCCTCTCTGAGCCCGGATAGGCCAAACTGGGTCCTGTCCTTTTAACTTCACGGAGGCCAACAGGCGGAGCAGGTGGATAAAAGCCCAGCCCAGGAGCACAGTAAGTCCCCAGCTGCCAGAGGAAGCAGAGGCTTGCCCTGCTCACTGAGCCAAGCCAGGAGGGCCTTGAGGACCTTTCAGAGGGTGAGGACTGGCCCAGACCACCAGGCCCTTGCTCCGAAGAGGAGACCTTCTACACCCTCCCCCAGCGTGCAGGCTACCATAACCCCGAGAACTATGGAGCCAGGTAGATTCTGCGGGGGAGTTAGGCAGTGGCCCAGGGAAAGCCTGACAACTGTCAGGCTGATCCGATAACAATTTAGAGTGCGTCAGCAGGTTGTGGGCCAGATCCCCACTGACCCCATAGGCTGCCAAACCTGCCACTGCTAAGGCCCTGGACCGGGAGGTGGTGGATTAGGGAGGACTGTGCCCCCGTCACCACACATACCGAGTGGCAGTCTCCCCCTCCCTTCTCCGTTTGCTGTCTTGCCCTGAACCCTGGCCAAAATCCCCCTGGCCAGATACCTCCTGGCCAAAATCTTCCCAGCCAGACACCCACTACCCTTACCCTCCTAGCCAAAATCCCTCCTGACCCCAACCCTCTGGCCAGACATCCCCTGCGCTCCTGACCCCAACCCTCTGGCCAGACATCCCCCTCTGTCCCCTGGCCGGAATCCCCCACCCCACCCACTTCCCAGGCACCCCCTGGCCAGGCAGTCAGCCTCCTGCCACCTTGCTAAGCAACCTGCCCCCTGGCCAGACCTCTCACCTGTACCCCCTCCAACACCTTACTTCCTCCCACCAGATTCTGCACTCCCAACCCTATCACATTCACTGGCAGCCCTGTCCCACATTCTTAACCCCTAAATTTTGGCCCCCCCCTCAGAGCCTAAGGGGGCCCTAAAAAATCCACTAACCCTGGAACCGCAGAAGAGTAAATCTGGCCTAAGGCCTTGAACCTCAGTCCTCCCTGCCCCACTCTCCACTAATGCCCCTGGTGCTCCAGATGTAGAGATGTTTCAGTTGGGGGGTCACATCAGTGAGGTTTGGGGGTTATTGAAGGGTTTTTTTTGCCTCTTAGGTGGTTGATTTTTGTGTGCATCAGTGGCCTCCAACCCCAAAAAAGTTCCCAACTCCTGCCATAAATCAAGACAATGTTGAAACCTTTTGTGCTGGACATAATATATATATTTTAAATGAAGCTTGGCCAACAAGCCCCCAATTGAGGCTAAGCCCTCATCTGACTGCAGCATCATAACACTCCTGCACCCCCACACATGCCAACCCTGAGTCCATCATACACCTGAACCTCTGATCTGAGCCCCTCATATCCCCACATCCCCAGACTCCTGCACCCCCACATCCCCAGTCATAACACTCCTGCAACTCCACACACCCCAACCTTGTGCGCTGAGTCCATAGTTCACCCCATTCTCCTGCCCTGAGCCCCTCATGCACCCGAACCCAGACTCCTGCACCCCTACATTACCAGCCCTCTACCATAAGATTGACAGAAGACAGCCTGAATGCATGCATGAAGTTGGATTTGACCAGTTATGACATAAACTTCAAAGAAATGTGCAAACAGATGCAGCAACAGAAGTCCCATTAATTAGTCTGTGAGTACAGTGTTTCAACTTATGCTATTATTAATCATTATCTGAATTATTAATAATATTGCATTGTATATTTGCAGTTATGTAAATGGGCATTCTTATATGGCTCTTTTGTTGATCACTTGTTCCGAATTTTAATGTAGTTTGGCTCTTTGGTTTGAAAAGGTTGCTGACCTCCGGTCTAGTGAGTCTTCAGAGATCTAACATTGCGATGACATTTTTTGTCAGTTGTAATGTAATCTGATGAACTGTGTCCCAGTTGTTTGAGATGTTTTCATAGAAGAGAAACTGTAGCTATCAATGATACTAATGGTAAAATAATAGTTGATATTTAGTATCTGCTGGGGTGGGTCTGAAAACTCATTCCACTGACTACACAGCTACCAGAAGTAGGTGGGAAGCTGGTAATTGTACTGTTGAGTGATGCTTCTAAAAACAATTGTGGGCAGAGGTTAGATGCTATCTCTGGGAAAGGTATAAGTGATGGAGAATTTCTGGGAAAGGAATTTGTGTGGGTAAAATGTAGAAGCACAGTTGGAGTGCTTCAGGGTCTTTTGATTTAGCTAAAGTGCAATCTCATCCCTCTTTCAGTAATACCAGACTGTTGATGTACAGACATCTTTTAAAATGTCTGCATCTATGCTCCTGATAGGACAGTGATATCAGCTCTTAAAGTAAGGCACATCCCTCTGATCAGGCTAGCCTTGGAAAGCTGCTGAAAAGTGCTTCTGTTTTTGTCTCCACTCCTGACATGCTCACCTCTTGTCCCAGAATTGGATTTTGTTACGGTCGACAGGGGAAGGAAATGCAGGCCTCTATGCAATCCCCAAACAGGCCATGTTTGTGGGGGGATGTTTCACTTCCTATGTCAACTTAAAATTAGCTCTGACTAGTCAGTTGATTTGATCTCTAATTCCTCAAGAATTATTTTAAAGGTTCCAGCATTCACTGGTGACACAACAGACCTAGTTCTCAATTGAATTGTACTATTTGCTGTCTCTCTGAGGCAGGCACCGTAAAACTATGGCAAACTCATTGTGTAAGTGCTGTAGTATGTTCACTCTACCTTCCCTACAGGTTAATTCATTTGACATCCATTCAGATATATCAAGTGGCAACTTCTCATCCCTTATAGCTCAACATAAACTTGGATTGCTTTTGCAGGGTTGTTCATGATTATTTAAGTGGAGAACCATTTGAGGCTTACCAACGAAGCATCTATTTCTCCCGTTTTTTACAGTGGAAATGGTTGGAAAGGTAAGGCATGTTTTATTTAACACTCACTGCAGTACTTCATAAAAGCCAGCCAACTTGGGGTTCAATTGTACAAATATAGTAAATGACATTCCCTGCCCCAAAGACAGGGAAAAGAAAAGATGTAATGGGCAAAGGAAATAACAAACAACAGAGTTGTAGTAGACATGGTATTAATAATTAAATCCACCTAAAAGATCTCAGAGCATTTTACATTTAATTACGCTAAATGTTTACAAATCTTTGTGTGTTTGTAATTCCTAGACCCCAGTGGGGTTCTGAGCTTGATTGGGGCCTTGGGTGCTGTTTATAATACAATTCTATTAATCATTACAGCCCTCTAGATGGTAAGGTAATTAACTGGTTTTACAGGTTGGAAAATTGAGGCATAAGTTAAGTGATTTGCCTAATCATAAAGACCAAGATTTTAAAAATAGAGGGCTGTGTTCAGGGTCCTAAATCCAAATTTTAAGCCATTAAAGAAGTGACCTGATTTTTCAGAAGAGCTGTCGCCTAGAAGCTGCATGATGTCAGTAGCAGTTGCTGGATTTTCAGGACTTTTGACAATCAGTCCTGCTCCTTTGGGCTCCTAGGTGCCTAACCATGACTTTCGCTGCAGGCTTCTACTACTAGAAGACTCTTGGTTTAAGCAAGTTAGAGGTAGACACAGGAGGAAAACTAGGAAACTTATTTATAGATCATTAGACCAAATACCTCTGAAAAACAGAACAAACAAGGTGGTAAAAGCTTAATTGGGAACAGAGTTGAGTCAGTGATGAACACTAGAAAATCCCTGTTGAAAACATTGTTTCCTCACAAACATGCATGAGAACAACAACTAACATGTGTAGTGGTAGCATAGACCCTACATTTTTGTTCATTCTGCTTGTTGTAAATGCGTGCTGCCCATAACGGGGAGCCAGTGCCTATAAGCAAAAACACCCTTTCCTTTTGGTATTCAGTTTGTATTCTAATTATTTTAGTAGAAAATCCCTGTTGAAAACATTGTTTCCTCACAAACATGCATGAGAACAACAACTAACATGTGTAGTGGTAGCATAGACCCTACATTTTTGTTCATTCTGCTTGTTGTAAATGCGTGCTGCCCATAACGGGGAGCCAGTGCCTATAAGCAAAAACACCCTTTCCTTTTGGTATTCAGTTTGTATTCTAATTATTTTAGTCATTCAGTGGTCATGGAAGATATATAGGATGAGGGAAGAAACAGAAACAAACGGCTCTGAAAAAAAGAAAACAATGTAAATGAGATTAGTAATTATTCCATTCTGTCAATTAGGCAGCCAGTAACCAAGAAGACATTTAGACACTACCGAGTACTAGGCAAAGGAGGATTTGGAGAGGTGAGATATCTATTTGTTTGTGAATCCTTGAAGGGCATTTGTGGGAAAGGTAATTTATGCTCTTCATTCTGTGAATAAATAACAGATTTGACTGGATCAATTGTAAATCACCAATTTGCCAAACTGAAAAAACAGCATTTTATACTCTTAAACACTTGCATCTAACAAGACAGTTGGTTTATACAACAGTTTTCCATTGTTTTCTGTTTAAAAAAAAAACGAAAACCCCAAACCAAACAACCCAGCGTATGCATCCATGAAACAGTTGAATTGGTTCTCTTGTTTTATTTGTTCCCAAAGCACCCAAGGGAGTTAAAAAAGAGAAAACTGTATTTATTCCAGTGTAAAACCTGATACATTTGGCACATCTTTCTTCTTTCTATTAGGTGTGTGCTTGCCAAGTGAGGGCAACAGGAAAAATGTATGCTTGTAAAAAGCTAGAAAAAAAAAGAATAAAGAAGAGAAAAGGCGAATCAATGGCATTAAATGAAAAAAGAATTTTAGAAAAAGTGAACAGTAGATTTGTAGTAAGTATTTATTTCTGCCCTTGTGAAATATACGCGTTTGTGTCTCGTAGGCATTTCTTTATTCCTGTCTCTTCCAGTGGCAGTTGGACAACAGTACTCTTTTATATTTGAAGGGGCCGGCACAGTGCTTAGCCAACCCACCTCAGACCTCAGTGCTCCCTGCAGTGTGGTGCCCTGCTCCGGCCCTCAGCGCTTAGAGCCACCTGGAGCTCACTACATGGTGCTCCAGAAGTGATTTAAAGTAAGGATGTTAAGGACTAGTTGACTCTCCAATAAGCAAATGCTTATCAGATAGTCTGTTGACTAGTCGATTCTCTCCCCTTGCTGCCTCTATCAGAAAAAGGCAGCGAAGAGGAGGTACTTCAAAGTGGCAGTGCTGCACAGTTGATCCCTGGGTCAGCTGTGCAGCACCATGCAGAGCCCGAGGTCAGCTGCGGATTCCCCAGCTGATCCCAAGTTCTGGGGAAATGCTGTGCGGAGAGCTACAGAGTCCAAGCGCAGATTTAATGAGAACCAGGATGTCAATGAAAACATAGTGTGGTACAATATACCAGACTAGTGAGAATTATAATTCACTGCTGGTCTATAATATCACTTAATTTTCTGATGAGTTTTTAAATGTATGTTTTTCTGTCTGTAGATATTTCAACCTCTTTCATTGCTATAATGCCATACACATGCTAGGAGAATCCTTAAAAGTATTTGCTCTATTGCAATTTGGATGTCAAAGTTCTTATTGCCTGTTCATTAAAGTTGAAGGGATTAGAGAGGAAGATTTGAAAAGCTATGTAAAGTATGATATAAAGAGTATGAGTGCTAATGGTTTTAAAGTGAGCAACATTTCCATATTTCAGCTCTTTCACCATGATATTTCCCAATAAATTATGACCAACTTAGAGACCAGATCACTAACTAACTGATGTAATGGCCTAAAACACTCAAGGAATATATGTCAAACAGTTTATCGTTTATTTTTATCATTGACTTGCTATTATTTAAATATTAGCTTTAGGTAAATGTCTAGTTAAAATCCATTAATAGATGTATTTTCTTTGTTACAGAGAATTATAAAGCATGAGATTCTAAGTTTTTGCTTTCATAGATTCTGCGAAGGAGAAGATGGAATTTATTCTAAACAAACATAACATTTTGGTATCCAAAGAAGGGAAATCATGCTGGCCAGAGAAAACTCATTAGCATCTTAAGCCATACATAAATAGCATCTTTTATAAAGGATAATGTTTATCTTCATGTAAAGACAAGGCTCACAATACACAATTTCCCCACAATTATAAGTTATAAAGCTGCACTGGATATTAAAACTGAAACTTTGTTTGCTCTTGCTACATCTAATTGTACAGTAACACTCTTCCATGTATAAAAGTTTTAAAATGCTGAAGGGAGTTTAATTCAACATTTCTTCAAAAGAATAAAAGTAATCTTACTCTAACGCTCCCTGTGTGATGTGGTTGTTAAAAGAGCAGGGATAGGTCAAGTTGAAGTAGGGAGGCAATATTACTATGTTATGTGACATGACTGATTACTGACAGGTTGGATTGATTTAAATAGATTAGATTTTAAATCACCAATTTGAATCATGATTTTAATTAGAAAGCAAGAAACCTTGATTTTAATTCATTGATTTAAATCTGGTTTTATATTTGTACTATTTTGAACTTTACTTTAGGAAAACAACTTCCTCTTTATCCTGGCTATTCTGGATGATGATGCAGACGAGTTTAATTAAGTGGCAACTGTATTACTTAGATGGCAGTTGTATACATTTATCTGGAATTACCCAGCAATAAATCATACAGTTCAGGTCTTGATTCTTTCATCTATCTGGGATTTCCCTTTCCTCACTGAGTCCCAGGCTGTTGCTGGGATCCTGCTGCCTGCCTCTCATATTGACATTAAGGGAGGCTGGAAAAACAGGGGGTTGTTTCCCCACTGTATTAGACGTTAGGAGCCTCAATCCTCATTTCTAGGCTGCCTTTTAGGAAATCTTCCCTTAAATCCCTTTCCAACTCTGGTTTATTAGCTAATTGGTTTATCATCCCCATAGGATGAGTATCTACCCTGGACACCTGCCACCTTCTAAGCTGTGACATCTTAACCTAACCTTTTTACCTGTCCCATTGGGTCCCTAATTACCCATGGGGAAATTGTGTTGGGAAACCACAGTCCACCTGGGCCAATCTGGCAGTGTGAGGGAAAAATTCCTTCCTAGCCCCCTAATAAAAAACGGGACTACAGGTTGAACGTCTCTGGTCTAGCACCTTTGGGGCCTGACCAGTCCCAGATGAGGGATTTTGTCAGATCAGGGAAGGTCTTTTCTGGCTCCTCCCTTCTACTGGCTCCCTCCATCCATAGCCTTGCTGCCAGCCTCCCAGCTGGCTTTCCCCTGCCACCGGACCCTCAGCTCAGGGCTCCCAGTCTCATTGTGCTTGCAGTGATGGGGTTGTCACAGCCCTTAGTGGATCAGTGCCCCCTGCTGGCGTCCGGGTGTACCATCAGGTGGCAGCCCCACTTAAGCTTCAGCTCTGTTGCCTCCCAACCTCACTAGACAGCTCTCCACTGGGTGGCAGCAGGACTGCTGGGCTCTTTGCTGTGCCACTTGGCAGCCCCACTTTAGGTTCCTGGCCCCACTGCCAGGCAGCCCCGCGGTCGGACTCCCGATCTTACTGGGCAGTTTTGCTGCCAGGCGGCACCCCTGCTGTTGGGCTTTAGCCCACCAGGCATCCTCGCTGCCTACTGGCCCTCCCAAACTACCCCTGTAGTGTTGGTACCGGGTGGCAGCCCTGTTGCTGGGCTCCTGGTTTCACTGGCACAGGGCAGCCTCGCTACTGAGTTCCAGCCCTGCTGCAGGGCTACCAGCCCTCCACGGGACTCTCTGGTCCTGGAACATTTCTGGTCCCTCCTAGGGATATTAAATTTTTATTAATCAGCTAATCGAGTAGCTCAATTAGTTGATCAACTACTCGATTAGTTGATAACTAGGGGGAAGCGCAATGGGGAACCCAATGCGAGTGGGGATTGCATCATCCTCCAATCCCCATTGTGCTTCTGACTCCCCTGTTCCCCTTCCCCTCTGCACTGTGGAGATGATGCTGTGGGGAACTGGCTTTTAAGCTCGTTCCCCCAAGCACCAGCTCCTGCTCCTTTTCCCCTCCCTTGCTGCCTCTGATACAGAGGCAGCAAGGGTGGAGTGGGGGCAATTCAAGTAGTTGACTCAGCTACCCAATAAATGTAAGCTTATTGGGTAGTCAATTGACTACTTTTTACATCCCTAGTCCTTCCGACCAGGGATGTTGTCAGACCAGAGAGTCCTGGCTAAGAGGTTCAGCCTGTAGCACAGTGTGCCCAGTGTCTGTCCCCAGGCTGCACATGATGTTTCAAAGTGGCAGCACTGCGTGGAGCCCGAGAGCAGCTGGGGACTCCCCCACTGACCCCATGTGGTGCTACTGCTTTGAAAAGCCACATGAGCCTGATGTTCCTGGGCTTCACGGGTTCCACGTGGTACTGCCGCTTTGAAATGCAATGAGGAGCCTGACACCGGGCTCCTCGCAGCACTGCCACGTGTAGCCCAAGATCAGCGGCGGAGTCCACAGTGGCACTTTTGCCTTTGAAGTGTAGCAACAGCCCTAGGTGCCCTATGGACTCAAATAGTCAATGCAAAATGCATTGACAATTTGATAAGTCAGTTATTCACAATTTAACATTCCTAATCCAGGCTGTGAACTCATTCTCATGCTGGTGTTTTTATTTCCATCTGGCTAGGCTAGATGGTAGATTCCCATCTCTTAACTATGTGTAAGGGTCATTTGAATTGGAGCTCTCCCACATTCTCAGTTGAACTAAAAGTTATAAGGGAGGTGGTCCTCCTTCCCCAAGGCTTTTTGGAAAAAATGGCTTAGGTGCTTGCCTTCCAGAGAGGGTTCACTGCTGAGAATCACAGAGATAGACCTCTTCCTATTGCCCTGAATTAGCAGGCTGATTTGTGTATCATAGTCTAAGGCAGAGCCAGGCCTTGTGTGACTGGCTGGTATGGAGGTCCCAGAAATGACACATCTGTTACTTCCACCCCAAGTCCTGCTCCCCTCTGGGGATATCTCTGGTATAAGGCACTTCTTTTCCTATTCATTGTACTGAGAGCTTGAATGCCTAACTCAGGCTTTGTGGATCCCATTGTTTATTCTTGTGATTTTTTTTTCTAGGACCTAAGTCTTAATGAATCTAGCTTTAGATTTATATACACGTATTTAAGAAATTATATAGCTTAACATACATTTATGCAAAGTGTTAAATGGTATATTTGCATTTTATTATGTTAGAATAATGAATGATACTTATTTTTAGCAGAAGGCTTTTAAAATTCATTCATGTCAAGATAGAAATTGGAATTCAATTGGAATTGCACAGAGCCTGCATTTTAAAGTGTGGTTAGCATTTGTTTTTTATGTCTAGGTGAACAGTTAGTATGCAGCAAGCTGGGATGTAAATCTACAATGCTCCAATGTGCCATGTACTAACTGTTGTCATGCACCTGCTGTTTTTGCTAAAAGTTCTCTAGATAGATAAAACTACCTTAAATATGTTGGATACATCAGGGAAAAAGTTTGTCAAAACATGTTGTTAATCTTAAATTCAATTTACAACAAAATTGGCAAACTTACTGATCTTCTGAGCCACATAAGACGACATATGACAGTCCTCAGAAGTTTGAGAGCTGGAGTGCACCTGCCAGGACTCAGGATATCTGCCTCTCAGAGGCCCTTATGGGGCTCAGAGCTTTACCCCACTAGTGCTGAAGCCTGAGCCCTGGCAGGTGTAACTCCAACATTCCCTCCCCACTGGGCAAAAGCTCCTACCTTGCTGAAAGACACGGATTTCAAGCTTCCCATCCCCAAGACTGGTAGGTGAAGAATATGGAGTGGGGAATGGTGGAGTTCCATGAGCAGCACCTTTTTTTAAAAAAGTAATTAATTTCTTTTTAAACAAATCCAGTTTTCAAATTAAAAAATATTTTATCTGCTCTGATTATCAGAATACTGTGTCCAGTCTGGTTTCAACTCTTTTTTTTTTTTTAAAAGAATGTTGGCAAAGTGGAGAAAATTCAAAAAGGACCCTTATTGTGAGAGATTAAAGATGCTCAATCAGTTTAGTTTATCCAAGAAAAGGTTTGAAAGGGATCTTGATCACATTTAAAATGTGTGTATATATACATGGGGGAAAACTGCTTTTTAACTTAGTAGACCAGGTATATATAATATAATGACTGGAAACTGAAGCTAGACAACTTCAGACTAGAAACAAAATGCAACTTAAGTGAGCATAATTTACTATTAGAACAACTTTCCAAAGGGTGTGATAGATCCTCTGTCTTTTGACAGGACTAAATATACCTTTCTAAAAGAGAAGCTCTTGCTCTAACACATTTTACTGGGCTTGAAACGGGAATCACACAGAAAAATTCTATAGCATTTTTTATGCCAGAGAGCAGACTAAATAATCATAATGGTCCCTTTGGCTTTAATCTTTTAATCATATTGACTCTCTTCCTGTTCTATGGCCAATGCTAATCCCATCTGTTCATGGTAATGAGCACATAGCTAGCTATAAAAGCTAACATGTTCAAGTCCTTTGAAATGAAGGCCCGTTAACTTTAAAGACTAACTCATGCATGAGAGAATTTATCAATATAGAATCTACTTAAACATTGATAAGGGGGCCACCATTCTGTCTCTGAGAAAATGTGTACTATAGAATCTCCTTCTCCTGGGAAGAGTGAAATTAGAAGGCAGTTCAGACTATATCACTTAGGAGTTGCATTTGTCTTGTGGAAATAGAGCAGCTTAATTTAACATGACTGACTCTGCATTTGACTTTGTCCCTATTTAATACACTGCTTGTAATCATGTGGACTTATCACGTGTCAACTCTACTTAATCGCATTCCAGCCCTGTGTGTATGTGGCTGCAACTTGGTTCTCTCTTAGTTTTTCAGTTGCATAGATTTATCAGCCTGTCCATCTGTACCTCTGTTAGCCATTCGCCTTTGTGTAGGACAACATCTCAGAGTTTATTTGCTGCATGTGAGAGAAAATATTCCATCTTGCTGCCACCTTGAGGAAATAAGGAATTGCTGGGCTTCCCAAGCATGCACTGATATCAACTAGGGATATGAATGGTTAATTGGTAAGCGTCACTCTTACCAGGTTATACTTAGGTTACAGTGAGCAGGGGGCTGCTCCAACCTGATGGGGCCCACCACGGGTGAGGAATACTACAGTCTGGCCAGAGAACTCCCTGCCCATGTCAGGGGGCCAGATACAGCCCACACACTCCCATTTAAGTGGTTAACCAGTTGAACTCTGTTTAACCAGATAACTGACTAAATGGGATTTTAAATCCCTAAATCAACACATCCTACAGCACATGGGCAGGATTAGGAATATGAATGA